TTTTCTTTGAACTATATAAAATAAATTGCGTTATAACATGGGTGTAATCTACTATTTGGTATTTATTTGCCTTTAACGATACGATAGAACAGTTACAAAAATTAGGACTGAATATTCATATAAACACAATGCTTATCATTATCTACAATAATTAATACTAAAACTTTTCAACGTGTTTTAGATTATCGATTTATCCTTATACTATCGTCCATCAGTATACTATATAATATACCATTATATATTTTATAATTTGTTGGTCATTTTTTAAACGAATGTGGGTGCCTATACTTTTATTTTTAATTTACCTTTTATACTTTTTATTTTTAATTGATCATTAAAATCGAGTAAAACTTCAATTTTTAAGAAAAGTGGTTATTCTGTAACAAGTTGCAGTCCTATTTCAATGAAATTATTTCCAAATATATTTTTTTAATCARTCAATAAAAAAAAAWAATCTTTGAATTAATACTAAATGGTAAATATATTAGAAATCAAGACAGTTTTTAATTAATTTTTTTTCTAAAAATCATTTTCTATCGTCAYTTGATATATACATAATACATATATATAAATATAAATATACTAATAATAGAAGTACCATGAAATTAATCTTAGTCGATGATTTATTACTATTATGACATTATAAACGATATGTAATTTTTRTTGTATTAATGAAAAGTGAATTTTAACAAAATGTGTAAGTAAACTAGCTATAATTTTTATATATCTACTMCAATGATGTATTTATGTTGGGGACATAAGTGCACGTGCTTCCCCCCATTTACCATTCATAGGATACATATACATTTGATAACTGCTGTAATAACTATTTACTACATACAGTAAAGTAAATATGTATTGTACCTATTATTAAAGTAAGTGTATATTTTTAAGCTGTGATTATTTATATGTTTTTAAGTGTATTTGTATGATTACATAGGTTGATGTCTTTTTGTGACGCACTTATTTATTTCTGAATACGAACTTGACTATTAAATTTTATATATTATAAAGATTATATTTTAAATGGATTTTTTTTCCATTAATAAATAAATAATAATAAGTGTAGTGATGTAAGTAGTAAGTAGGAAATTTCCAAGAAAAAAAAATTGTATTACTTTTTCCATACATTAATTTTGTAATGTTAAAATAGCAATAGGTACCTACTATGAATGCTAATGTTATAAAATATAATTCAAAATTCAAAATTCAAATAATATTTTAATTTTTACTTTCCTTACGTAAAAATTTAAGCCCTATTAAAAATTAAAAATAAATATTTAAGCTACAGAAATTTCTTGAATATAACATTTCTGAAATTTTACATCACTATAAATAATATATATAGTACTTATTGAAAATAATCTTTATGTATATATATTTTAGATTCTGAGCGGAGC